TGAATGGTTGTGTGTCTCTGTGTTGCCCTGCGATGGACTGGCGACCTGTCCAGGGTGTACCCCGCCTCTCACCCATTGACTGCTGCAGATAGGCACCAGCACCCCTCGCGACCCCACTCGAGATGCAAGAAAATGGAAGGATGAATGGAGTATATATTCAGTAATATCCAATATATTAATGACCAATGGGTGTGAATGAATTAAATTATCTTAAAGAAAACTCTTTATTATCATCAGTTATGCAGAACAAATAACTAATAACACTGTTGTTTTTTGGTAATTAGCACCATGTAGAGCTAGAATTAAAGGATTATTTAATCTAAAGCAAAACCTAAAAGAGAAAATAAACAGTGTCACAGTAAAGCTGAGTATAATAGAGCAGTTTACCGCATCTTCCTCTGTGTTATTGCAGCCAACTGGAGTCTTCTCAACCCACACAGAAAGCTTCCTCAGCTCAGAGTTTTCAACAAGGAATAAGGTTCTCAAGGGCAGAGCGGTCATATCGCGATATGCATCCTCCCTTCTGTATGAAAGTCTGAAAAAAACGAATAGGCAAATTTATCTTAATGTAGTTGCAGTTGTTCAGTGAAAATCAGCACCAGAAGCGATTAGTTTCTCTTTACTTTCTTGCTGACTTTCGTCTTCTCTGAAATGCAACATGATCACATTAGCATTCTTATTTTATCTATTGCACCATGGTGATGCATTGGCTATCAATAAAACAACACATAGTACTTTTAATTGAAGTGCATTATTAAAGAATTAGTAATAATAAAATATCAATCAGATGCCAAGACAAGAATATCTAAAAAGAAAAGAAAGGTGACAACTTCTTGTAACCTGAGACTTATTTGCGTAGGAGCTGATGAGGAATGTAAGTGGGAAGGTTTTTAGAGCTTGAATGTGATTTTTACAACAGAACATGTTTTTTTTCCAGTTTAGGCTCATTATTTTTATATGACCTCAAAATACCACCCACATTAAATCAAGTTTATTTACTTCTTTCCAGCACCATTAATAGTTTATCAAAAGCTATATAAAGCTGTAGGTGTGACAGTTGCAAATAAGATGATTATAATTGTTACCTGAGCTTGGTGCACTGGAGAGAACCGTCTTTTAAGCCAGTTGTGAAAACTGTGTTACTGTCTTCAGAGAAGGAGACAGTCCGAACTCCACCGAGTCGACAGGAATGACACCACAGCTCACAGTACTGTCCCTGCAGGGGAATTGGCAGCGTTAAACTTACACTACTTTGGAATAGTATTAATGAACATTTAAACTTCCAATGCATTATAGTATTTAACTGACATATTTACAGATTATCTGAAGTTTATTAATATATATATATTTTTTTTTTTAGCTAACTCAAGAATAGCAATGCTTTGTGCTATGGTGTAACTAGACAACAATAGGCCTGTAAGCAACATTTTCTGGGTGGGCCCCATATGAAGAACAACACGTGATAAAGGTTCAGGATACGGCGACAGTTTAATAAATTGGCTGAGAAGAAACAATTATGCAATTCTCAGTGGTATATGATCACACATCAGACACGGAAAAATAGTGACTGCGCACCTTGAATGGAACCATTGGTGACAGCGCACCACCACATGTTATAGACATCCCAACTTCCGAAAACTCATTTCAGGGAGATGCTTATCGATCCCCTCCCACCCGCAGTAGACAACGGACCCGAAACGTGCCCCATACATAGACACTTCATCATTCTTCATCTTCACTAGACAATTATTATACTTTATTATATTAGCACAACAAGCCATGGGGGTACCTTGAGCTTCACAGTCCCCCTCCTCCCCACGCGCTCTCCATTCGTCACCTGGTCGAAATCTTCACTCACCGTAGCAGCAACGTCCACCTCTCCCTCTTCGGTTCTTGGAAAGAACGTGTTTATTTTGGGAAGTTTTTTCCGTTCTTCCTGCAGCTCTTCTTTGCTTTTCTTTTCTGGTATCCGGTTAAGTACCTCTTTTTGGTATCAATCGTCACTAACACATTGTACGTAATGGTTATGGTTTTAATCTATGCTCTGGATTACCCACAATTCCAAGCCGTAGTGTAACAAATAAAATACTCATGTACATCGTTCTTTTAAGAACTTTATTGCAGTTTGAAACATATTATATGAGTTTGGTTTTTTTTTACCAACCGTCTATACACAGTTATTAACATAGTAATTAAAAGTACCACTGTCTGCTTTGCTATTGGTGTCGTTTTTAAACGGCTCACCATCCTGTTGAAATCTGGCATGTGTTGTGCATTAAAATACGGTCCGGTGAGGTTATTCACTTCAGTATCAAGTGGGTCAAAGTGGAATTTTTCGCACCATTACATCTGCAAAGACACTTCCTAGTCTATTTACCAGGTGGGCTTACCTGGTGTTAGTGATGGGGCCCCTAAGAGGTCCCGGGCCCGTAAGCAACTGCAGACTCTGCTTACCGATATTTATGCCATTGGCTTTGTGTCTCAACCTGCTTTACACAACTGTAGGCTTAATTTAACACATTTTACTGCAGTTTATTCTCTGGCAGCCTCTAACAAGTTTAGTTGTTTCATCATGCATAGCATGTTGACTAAAAGGTGCAGTCACCAGACTATCTCACTTGGCTTGTGGAGAACTTTAAACAGGTGCTTAATATGGCAACACATTCTTCTATAAAGGCCAGATTTATAGATTCCACCTGAACTGTGGATCTTTGCAGGTCCTTCAGACTTTGTTCCCCTTTTGGTAATGGATTAAAAGGGGTCTTAGGACAACTCAGGATACTTATTTCACAGCTAAACTCCCTGTCCACAACTCTGTCCCTGAATAATGGTGAGTTTCTTCATGATAATGACGCCTTTTAGTCTATAAAAAACTGCTGAAGAGGCAATATTATTGTTGGGAGGAAAACAGCTGCATTTATGCTGAGATTAAATTACACATACACACTGTTTGACTTTGTTCACACATTAACGAATTTCCCTGGTATCTATCTAGGAGGTATTGGAGTTCTGGGGGTTTAATACAAATGCATAGCAGACTTTTAGGGATTTTGATTTGAAAAAAGAGAAATTAAAAAGCATGGATCATTTTGAATAATTTAAATGAAGCAAATTATGAAGAAAAAAAAAATCAAAATCCCCACTTACCATAGAGGCAGTTGGCCTGATCCGCAGTAAGCCATCTCGTCCAACAGAGGCCAGCCACAAGCTGTCAGGAGACAGAAGGACACAGGCAGGCCCAAGTGGGTGACCTTTCACCTGATCCTTTGGTTTCAGCTGGATCATCTGTTGGCTGGACAGATCATTTGTCTCCTAAAATAACAAATCAGGAACAAAACAAAATAGTTTAATTCCTTTCAGTGTAAACAGTATTACCAAAATTTAAGAACCATGATGACAAGGGTGCCAGGGTCAAACCTTGGGAAGCTGAAATCTCTGAAGAGATTTTTTACTTTGACAATAAGCAAAGACTTCATCGACTCCCAGAGCACAGGAAGTCAGAGGAGGTTGCACTTTGTATGTGAACTTTTTGGGGATGTGCAGACAGCCGTTACGGTCTACAAACTCTGACACTAAAGGTCAGCAAAAACACATTAGTGTTATTAGCTTTTGTAATACATATGCAATCATTAAAAAGATAAAAAAAACTTCTTATTTATTTTGAACCATATCTATTGAAAGTCATTGTACTAAGCTCTAAATCTGCTGCGTCATTGTGTGTTGCACTGGCTGTTCATCAATCAAAGGTGTTTTTAAAAAGATCTTGTTTATCTATTTTTTTCAAGAACCAACAAATTACTGAAGGCTTTTTTCCTAAGATAACTAAAGGTTTAATTCCAAATCTGATCAATCATCCCATACATTTCTCATGATACATACACTCACCGGCCACTTTATTAGGTACCCCATGCTAGTAACGGGTTGGACCCCCTTTTGCCTTCAGAACTGCCTCAATTCTTCGTGGCATAGATTCAACAAGGTGCTGGAAGCATTCCTCAGGGAGTTTGGTCCATATTGACATGATGGCATCACACAGTTGCCGCAGATTTGTCGGCTGCACATCCATGAGACGAATCTCCGGTTCCACCACATCCCAAAGATGCTCTATTGGATTGAGATCTGGTGACTGTGGAGGCCATTTGAGTACAGTGAACTCATTGTCATGTTCAAGAAACCAGTCTGAGATGATTCCAGCTTTATGACATGGCGCATTATCCTGCTGAAAGTAGCCATCAGAAGTTGGGTACATTGTGGTCATAAAGGGATGGACATGGTCAGCAACAATACTCAGGTAGGCTGTGGCGTTGCAATGATGCTCAATTGGTACCAAGGGGCCCAAAGAGTGCCAAGAAAATATTCCCCACACCATGACACCACCACCACCAGCCTGAACCGTTGATACAAGGCAGGATGGATCCATGCTTTCATGTTGTAGACGCCAAATTCTGACCCTACCATCCGAATGTCGCAGCAGAAATCGAGACTCATCAGACCAGGCAACGTTTTTCCAATCTTCTATTGTCCAATTTCGATGAGCTTGTGCAAATTGTAGACTCAGTTTCCTGTTCTTAGCTGAAAGGAGTGGCACCCGGTGTGGTCTTCTGCTGCTGTAGCCCATCTGCCTCAAAGTTCGACGTACTGTGCGTTCAGAGATGCTCTTCTGCCCACCTTGGTTGTAACGGGTGGTTATTTGAGTCACTGTTGCCCTTCTATCGGCTCGAACCAGTCTGACCATTCTCCTCTGACCTCTGGCATCAACAAGGCATTTCCGCCCACAGAACTGCCGCTCACTGGATGTTTTTTCTTTTTCGGACCATTCTCTGTAAACCCTAGAGATGGTTGTGCATGAAAATCCCAGTAGATCAGCAGTTTCTGAAATACTGAGACCAGCCCTGCTGGCACCAACAATCATGCCATGTTCAAAGTCACTCAAATCACCTTTCTTCCCCATACTGATGCTCGGTTTGAACTGCAGGAGATTGTCTTGACCATGTCTACATGCCTAAATGCACTGAGTTGCCGCCATGTGATTGGCTGATTAGAAAATAAGTGTTAACGAGCAGTTGGACAGTTGTACCTAATAAAGTGGCCGGTGAGTGTATGTTCTGCGCTTTATCCACTCTTTCTATTGTGAACCCAGGTTATCCTTTAGTAAATCAGTTTATCGCTTTATTGCCACATGTTTTTAAGCAGCCTGTATTTACTGGCTTCCTACCTTCAGTCAGACCAACAGGCATTGAATACACGATCAGCACGCTACCATGATCATTTCTGTCCTGTGTTGCACACAGTATGAGAATCTTCAGTTCCCCACTTTCGACCGGGAGGCACTGGGTGGAGAGGGACAAAATGTGGCCAGGAACATCTGTAAAAAACAACAACACGGCACTCAAATACACATAAGCGATATTTTTGTAATACATATTATTTTGTTTTGCTTCAGTCTTCATGAAAAGTTCTTACCAATGTATCCTATTACTGAAAACCTTGCTGATGGCCTTGGGTTGAGCACATATAGATGTAAATCCAATCCACTGCAGAAAAGGTAGTGTCCCTCTTGATCAAAACTGTAAAAAAAAAAAAAAACAAACACATCTGGATTTCATTTTTATGACCCTAAATTAAAAATTTCTGTGTGACGGGTCATCTAAAGGTTTATGCTCTTGTATAGATGGAGGATACTTGCACTAGATGATCCACAGCAGTGTGGTAGAGGTAAACCTCATGCACCAGGCAAAGTTGCTTCTCGTCGTTTAAGTCAATGAATTGGACTTTTCCCGAAGCTGTTCCAACAGCTGCATAATTAGCAATGGGACAGCAGGCAAGAGTTGTTGCCTATAGGGACGTAAATGACACTTTACCTTCAATTATGTTCCAATGCATTACTTTTCTGATGAGTCATTTTATAATGCTTATGGATAGACTGCTTGTCAAACTCACCTCTGTTTGTAGGTCCAGGGAGCCGATGCAGGTGCCATCAGAGGACCACAGCTGCAGAACTCCACCCTCCCTTAAGGACTGAAGTTAGTAGAAACATACACACAGCGGCTCGCAGGGGTAAATTGAAGATGTAATTCACAAAACAATATAAATTACTTACCACACAAATGTCAGTTTTGTCAGTTTGACACGAAGTGGCTGTCAAAAAGTTGCCGCTGAGAATGTTCAGAGCTTCCTCGATATGGTCTGACTTGGCCAGGTTCAGCAGATAGATTTGCCCCTTAGGATTAAACATATTTAGATTTAGGTAATATGTAACAGCTTGTTTCAACACCATGTTTAGAATGAAACACATTAGGTGCCTACTGTTTTAGAGGATAGAAGTAATGTTTTATCGTCAGGGGAGAGTACTGCTGTCGAAATGGGTCTTTCTAACTTCCATGTTTGGGTGATGTGGATCTTACGTTGTCTGAACTCCAGACAATGGACCACACCCTTCTGCAACACAAGGAAATGTTTAGTTTTTTTTTTATTATCTTAGACTGTCAATAGTCTGTATTTTTTATGCTACATACCTTATCAACTGCAATAAGATCATTGCTAGTAAAACTTAAAGCTTGAAAACAGAAATTTTGGAGTTCAGGTATGGGATCAGCAGCTACAAACAAAAGAAAAAGGGTTATATCCATCTAAGACAATAAATAACAGGAGGGTTTGTTACAACGCGTTTGGCTGTCTTTACTTTAGCTTACCTGCAGGGTTGAAAAGAACAAAAACAGAAAGGCTTTCAGGGTCAACAAGGAGGAGGTGACCCTCAGAACAGCCTACATTAAGTTGTGATGTTGCTGTCCAGCATAGGGAAGATGGTGTCACGGTGTCTCTGGTGGGCTGTGAAGACTGCATTAAAAAATAAGATAAGCTGTAGTCAACATCAATCTTTTGGTTGAATGGTTTATTTTGACAATTTGTTCAGCTGAAAGTTGCGTGTTTAGTACAAAACGCATGTCTGGAACAAAGCAGGTTGGGTTCTTGGCTGGAGGGGGATGGAGGTTCTCTGCCAAAAAGACATCGGTTGCTGGAAGCGGTACTATGCTGTAACACAATAGAAGCACATTCTCTCCATATAACCCAGTATATCCTCTTGACAGCTTTACCATATAATTACCCTTTTGGCAATGAATACATTGTGTAATTCACCTTTAAAGATACTGGGTATATTCCTGAACTGTTCACTAAATGCTGCAGTTTACAGAATAGATAAATTACTGTGCAGTTTGTGTGATTTTTACCTTGGGCTAAGAATGTGAAACCTCCCACATCTTTCTATTTTCCAGACAGTAACGGTTGTGGTGCCCATAGCACAAAGCTGCAGCCAGTTCATGGGGTTGAAGTGTAAAGAAATGACATCATTTCCTGCTTGTGACTGTGTACAGAGCACCTCAGCAGATTGCCAGTTCCTGCACACACAGAATTACTTAGTTATAATTATCATATCAGATAACACATTTAATTGCAGTTTAAATACTGCTCTCTAAAGGTCTCATGGAGGAGATTAAACAACAGACAGGTCATATGTGGAGGAAAACTAACATTGAACATCACCCAATAACAAAATCTGCACATGGTGGTGGAAGCACCATGGTGAACAGATACATTCCTTCAGGGTCAAGAATGCATGCTTCTATTAATAATTCAGGAAAATTTCTTCTGTTGAGGTTTATACGTACTCTAAATAGCCAACGGTCAGTGTTTTAAAGAGGTTAAAGGAGTTTGTATTTTACATAATTATCCCTGGACCGTCACCCACTTTAAAATTGTTGTTCACAAACACTGTCTATTCAGTGTAACTGCGCTTTAGCATTATTAGTAACTTTGATATCTAGACTGTTTATTGCAGGTGTTTCTTAAATGATCAACTCAGGAGTGTTGCATACAAAAGCATGTGCCACCGACACCAGATCTGGGGGAAATCTGTATGAATTTCCTTCTGCGCATGTGGGGATCTGGTTTTCATGTGTGGATCTTTTCCTGTGCGTGCATGGATCTTGTGCTGTGTATTTGTGGATATTGAGACCCTTCTAGCTCTATAAATCTGGACCAGCAACAATGGGCATACAAGCTAAAGCACTGTGCAGCTAAAAATCAGACAGGAGACAGCGGTTAGTTTGCTGGCCAGACCACATCTTGTTAATTCTGAGCTGCATTTTCAAGAAATAAAAGAAACAACAACATACAATTCACACATAAATACAATGAACAATATACTTACAAAAAAATTAAACAAAATCAACACAAATACGAATCACCTTTTCTCTTAAACAAAAAAATTAAATAAAAAAACATAATAAACAAACAAAACAAAAAAAACACACAGAAAAGAGAATCTCACCAAGCAAAAATTGGTTGGAGGCAGCAGAGGCGTAGCCAGAAAATTTATATAAGGGTGGCCAGGCAATAACCAATGTACACTGAGGGGTGGCCAAAAGTGGATACGAACCAGAACCTCAGGGTCAATCTAAACTATTGCAACAGGAAGATTAATGAGCACAACATCCATATTTTCTAAATAAGAACAAACTATACTTTTCTACAGCCTCTGCTAACAAATAGACGCATATATTTAAACATCCGTGCTTTCTAGATAAAAGGTATAGAGGATAAAATTCTTTCAGGTTTGAGTTCTGGGGCGAACATCTCTTCCTTTGTCATTACTTACCTACTTATATATTAAAAATTATTCTGCTTAAAA